TCTTGTTCCACCGACTCGGTCGCAGGCGCACGGCCGCTCGCTTCGCAACAAAGACAGACCATCCCTTATAAGTTGCAAAACTGAACGTTTTAAACGAAGCTTTTTTCCAGCGATGTGCTTTTATGCTCATGGCATGTAATTTAGGAACTTATGGGAATTTAATGTATAACTTGATATATATTTCTAGTTTCTAGTTTTTTATCTAATTTATTGTATTTTATTATATAGACACGAGTGTTTTACTGGAAAATATACCACTCATAAAATTCATAAAAACCACATCCGGGACCCGAGTGGTTTATTTTCCATAATCTCACACGTGAGTTTATCGATGACGTAATTTCGGTAATTTCCCTAAAAAATTTGTAGGTGTCTTGCGTCCTTTGAATTTTAATTACACATTTTTCAAAGCTTTGCTTATATTTTGTCATTGTAGAGCCCTATTCAGCGCAGTGTTATTTCTAAAGATTATTGTAAACAATGTCTTATATTGCTGTACTGAAAATATGAGCCGTCACAAATACTTTTTGGTGCATAAAAATCTATTATTTTATCGATGTCTTTTTGTCTATAAATATTGTCAATCGTGGCAAAAACAATATTTTACTCACTCGCTGCGCTCGTTCGTAAATAAAATACATATCTTCGCCCCACCGTGTAATATCCTCTATATATCTTCTCATAATTGTAAGGCCCAGTCCATTTTGAACACGATGTAATTAGTTTAAATTAATTTTTTTTGATTAATATCTATATCTTTGTAAAATAATTCGCTTATTTTCAAGCGCGACGATTTTATCATCAAACCAAACTTACTTACCTATTTCTCTTCCAAAAATACCGTCGATTGCAAATTGCATTTTCTTTCTTGTACTGATATATTTAATGCATTCAGAATTTCTGAAAATATTTGGTGAAGCATACGGATAGCATCACAGTCTAAATCGTCAACTTTTACAAGACGTTCCCCTTTAATGATAATTAAGTTTCTTGAACTGTTGCTAAGAACTACGCTTATCAAACTTTTATTTCGTTATTGTTACTTGTGTAACTTTTTCTAATCTTCCTACATTCCGCACAAAAACGTTGCTTTTGCTTCCTTCTCTTTTAATTTTTAGCAAGCACCACTGACTCTTAACCCACACTGAAGCCTTTTGTTATAATTATTGTGAACAGCTTTCTCGAATCATCTGTTTTGTTAGAGAACTAACTTGCTCGGGCAAAGCACAGTGTTTAACTAAACCATACCTTTTCCTGAAAGTCGAGTCGCAAAGTTCGTTTTCATTCTTTTTATGTGTCATTTTTTTTACCATCTACGAAAATGCCATTAAAAAATAGTGTTCAGTTAAGATAGCAGTCAGGCAAATCATGCTCTTATTTCGTTCCGATGCCAAATGGGATAGGTAGTATATATTTAGAGTTAATTGTGCTGGCTAGTGGGATTTCAAGCCTAATTTGACCTAAAATATGCATGATGCCCATTTTGGAGCCAAAACGTTTTAAAAGATAAATTCCTATTGAGTGCAAAATGTTTGTAAAGGCGGTCCTTTACCACACAAATAGAAAATGAGACTTCCAAATGTAAATCGAAAGTATAAAATCGACAAAAGTTTCCGCGCCTATAACCAAACTTATAATTACGCCAACAAGTCATCTGAAACGTACCTACCCTGTGGTGTCCCTCAGGGAACGATTTTAAGGCCTCTTTTGTTTTTACTATATATAAATGACCTTCCGAATTGCATCATGCATTCACAACCTGGAATGTATGCTGACGACACTAGTATCACCTATGCGAGCAATGATGTTGAAGAAATAGAGCGTTGTGTTAACATAGATTTAGATAGAATTCGTATATGGCTTGCCGAAGGCACGAATTTTGTAGGGGGGTCTAGGGATATTCTCCCCCAGAAGATTTTCAAATTAGGAGGCTCCGAAGCGCTATTTTCAGCACTTGTCATGAAATTTGTCCGAAAAATCGACCTCGAATATGAAAATGGCATACAATTGCAAGTCACTATTATCAAAACAACTGAGTCTAAATAAACCAAATCCATCCACGACTTAATGTGTCTGGCTCAACCGGTCCCCTTGGGAATGAAAGAAAAAAAATCCAAAGCTTTGACATGAAATATATTGGATAAATGAATAAAGTTAAAAGGTCTGATTAATGTTGTTTTACGCCGTAACAAGTACATCTGTGGTTACTTTATTTTCAGGACGCTGAGTCTGAGCTCTTGCACTACCTAGTATGAATACTCAATCAATGGTACGAGGAGGTGCCAAAAGAATAAGTAGGAAAAAAATTAGATTTATGAATGATATCTATCCGTAGTTTTCACATGACGTTAGTCACCAACACTCAAAAGTGAAGAATTATCAATTCTCCTGCGATTTTGCTTTAATTGAAAATTAAAAGAAACTTACCTGTAAGTTGGAGTGTAAGGGATCGCATGACATTGCACAATGCTATCCCAGAAATCAACTTTTAAAGGGGAACAAATACTGAAGAGTACATGTAAAATCGGGTGGATAGTAGTATAAGGGTGGGCATGTGATACCTTACACTTCCTGAAGACTGAATAATTTTTAGTGTGTTTAATATTGGAGAATATTCTTTGCATGGGAATTTAGTTTCCCCCAATTATTCTACAGTCATGCACTTTTTGTATTTTTGGTAATTCATTTACTTGTATTAGCATGACAAATTATTATTAAACTTAAACTTAAACTAAAATAGAATTACCATCAAAACTTTAACTTAGTTTAATTTTCAGTTCTATTTCGTCATCATTCAGTGTAGGAATCCCAATGAGAAGTTTAGAGCCAGTGTTTGTGAGCGCAAAGATAACAAATATCCAATATGTCAGGTAACACAACCTTCTATTTCTTCACTGGCTCAAATCTTACTAACAGAGAGTGACAACAGAACTTTTGCCAATTCTCCATGTTGCATTGTTGAAGTGGTTTCTTGTAATATTTTACAAAGTGCAATGTCCTGACCAACCCGCCGTTCGAAGAATAGTGTCAACAGAAACTTGCAGCTGCACTGGCTGACGCGGAACTGATACTTTGAGGTTTAAAGAGACTTAAATCAATTCCAGCAAGTTCTAAGGTGGTTTTATCCACCGAGATTGCTGCATCTTGAATGGTAAGCCTGAGTAATTATTGTATTTGATGTTTGTTTTTTATGTCTAATTTAACGAAGTCGAACGTAGTTTATGCGGCCAATTAGTTTATGCACGTTTGTAAGATTTGAGACAATGATCTGACCGAGTATAAGGGTTTAAAAAATGTATCGGTCATCAAATCGAAGCTTTAACATCCCCCCCGGGCATTTGACACCTTTGCCGCCCCGGGGGGGAGGGAATTTTATTATCAGAGTCTTCCAGGGGGTGGAGAATTTGATCCCCGTGTGTCAGGGGTGGGGAATTTGACTGCACCCTCGATTTCATGTGAAATCTCTGGCGTGGTGAGCTATCATGGGGGACGCGGTGTTAGAGGATTTTCGTGGAAAAGATTGTGCCTTTGTGGCCAATTGGTTACGAGGAAAGGGCTTAAACAAGCTTTTTGCCGTATTTGAAGGTATTTAAATTTTAATATTTTTGGATTCAGGCTATGAATATATATATATACAACAATGGAAAGCTCAACATAGGTCAATTACTTTGACGTGCTGCATCTCATTAGGTAGGATTTTTTTTATGGAACGCTTTGTATGTTGCATGACACACGAAGAAAATCTGAGCATTCAGTTACCTTGTAGCAGCGATTTTCCCCGCTTTGCACGAGAATTTTGTTCGTAGTAAATAGGCTAACAGCTGTATTTACAAAGATTTTGTTGGACAACTGAAGGCGTTTCTGCCGTCCTTCTGTCATTTATGTGCCTGTGAAATGTCCCCAGGGTGGGGGCATTTGATCACCTGAACGTACCCTAGTGTGGGGAATTTGAACAATAATTTTCAAAAAAGTCAAATGCCCGGGCGGGGGGGAATGTTGAAGCGTCGATTTGACCGATACATAAGCTTAGTACAGAACTTTCAAAAGTCTTTAAACATTTTCTCACCGCAAGTAGAAAGAAAACGTTCCAAAGAATATTTTGTTATAATTCTGGCTGTGAAAGAAAGCTTTGAGCGATTTTTTTGCGAAGGAATCGGCATGCATGCTGTCTGAAAAGCCTGAAACGAGCGACAAAAATTTCAGGTTGTTTCTTGAAAAGTGGAAAACAAACTGCAATCAGCTTTTCGGCGTTAGTATCGGTACGTTCTTCTTCTTCTTCTTGCCAGACGAAATCTGTTGAACGCAGCATTCTTACAACAGCTAAATCCAAATTCGAACAGGCTTGAAGCCTACGTACCACTCCTCCCCCGCACTAACTTTCGCAAAGACATCTAAAATCATTACCAGGTACACGCCGGTCAGCCATTGGTCAATTCATTTCGCTGTCCCTAGTAACCGTGCCAGAAGTCTTTGCGAAAGTTTACTCGGCCCAATTTCATTCTTGTTTTTAGTCATAAAACAATTTTCATATTTCACTCTCACAACTTCCTTGCGTAACAGTTCTCTGCAAACAAATGTAAAGTCTTTTATTTATTTGTCTTTAAAATAAGTGCGTATTGTGTTGGCTTTTGATGTGCGTTGTCCAAGTCTCTTTTCACCTGCCGGACTTGGGTTAGTTGTTTCCAATCACCGTGAAAACACACACAAAATAGCCTGCATTATTAATGATGTTAAATCAAAATTCGATATACAGGTTAGCGCTCATTGGAAAGCAAAATCTCCGAACAATTTTTTGGGCGATAGATGTTGTTGCCATTCAGTTTTTCTTTATTTCATCACAACTACGGTTATTTTAACATTGAAAGCAAAATTTTAGGAAACTACTGTATTTTTCAAGATCTTGCGCAATGGAAAAGAGTATGTTTCCACCTGTTCTGACAAGCCTTATAAAATCAATTAGTACCGAAAGCCAGCTATATAGCTGGCACCTAAATTCAACGATGGAAGCGTATTCGCTCACAATCGAATGGGCAAGGATTCGTTCAAGCGGCAAGAAGGAAAATGTTTCTCAACATTCACAACAGATTGTAAATGAAGAAAATTCACCGCAAGATACGGCATTGTTTAGTACTGATTGTGGCATGGATGCAGCCGCAGATAAAGAGATGGATGATAATGTTCTCAAAAAAAACCTACAAAGGGAAGATATTGATGTGAGATGTGTTGTGAATACTCGAGAAGAAGAAAACAAAACAGAAGTAATAATCTATCAAGGGGAGTGCGATACACCGGAAGCCATTACCACTGAAAACAAAATTGACTACAAAACCCAAAGATCTTTTCAACCCGGGGAGAACTCAAAGGCCTCCAAACGAAGGCATAAGAGAGAACATTTTGACTTTTTGCCTGGAAAACAAACAACTATTGTAGCGGCTGAACACGACGACGGAGTCACAAATAAAATCAGCGGCTGCTTTTCAAAGCAAGATGACAACATAAAGAAAGCAATTTGCTCATGCGGGGAGACTTTTTCATCTCGCCGATCATCCCTCAGTCATCTCTTAAATAACTGTCCGGTAAGCCTTTGTTTCAGAATTGATCTTGAATGTGACGTAAGACAAGTGATTGACGGTTGGCATGGAGATGAAAAAAACGCTGGTGAGGCTTGGTGGCAAGGCTACATGAAAAATGGGTCCCCGAATGAACAACTGAAATTAAAAGATGAAAATATCGATCGATTGTCAGCACTAATGGATAACTTTATAAACATAGCCACTACAAAAACGCTCACAGATCAGACAGGAAACTATTTTGCGATAATAACAGGCCTTGACGAAATTCCAAATTAGAATGATTCATGGGCTAAGAATATGAGAAACGAAGAAAAGGCAAAAGGCGAAGAGAAGAGAGTGAGACTCCATAGAAACCGATGGAAATTTGCATCTCGTATCTTTAGAGGTCTATATACTTGTATTTGTAGTGGGTTCTCTCTTTGGCCGCCGACTTGGAGGTGTCGCGTGGGACTAGGTCGGTGTTAAATCGAACTGCACCATGGGACTGTTTTGAGATGTAATCTCTTGTCATCTGTCGTTTCATTTGGGAGCTTAAGCAACGACGACGGCGACGTCAACGAGAACGGCAAAAAGCAATAGGTTTAGATTAGCAAAACAACAACTCTGAACGTGTGCATTTCTTTGCCGTCACTCCACGACTACGACGTGAAAATGCCTAATTTCAGGTGTTGGGAGGACGGACGTGAACACAAGACAACGCCTTTTTTTTTCTTTTCCAATAATAACAATATTTTAGAATTCAACTCCAGAAAAATTTGCTAACAATTGACGCACTAGAGGAGATGGAGTTTGAGGCAGCGCGATTCACTTTTTAAGTGACGTTTTAGTAGCCGTCGTCGTGCTTAAGCTTCCTATTGACTATCAGGAGGATGAGCGGGAAACTGGGTCACAATTAGTTCGCCCAAACAGCCCCACAATGCAATGATCAGCCCAGTTACTCGACCAAGGAAAGTTTGACATAGACAACTGTTAAGGAAGCCTTATTTGTGTGAAGAGGTCATCTATAAACCGCACAGTCCACCATACACTTAGTGGATAGCAAACCTGTGGCTTTGAACGAATATTCTCACGCATTCTCATGGATTGCTTGATTCTGTTTAACTCTGTTCAAAAACAAAGATGACTATATAAAAAAGACAGGGCAGTAATGGCATTTATTTTTAACTACTTCAACGCAACGAACCATTTTTATCAAGGTATAAAGTTATTTAGAGAGAATAAATAAGAAGTACAAAACACAGCATCGTGGTCCTTCGGGGTTGAAAGTGGCATGGGCATCTCATTTCCCAGTGAGCTACAAAGACTATGAGTGCAGAACTAAACAAGCTTTAGAGAAAAAATTCCCCTGAGGTCCATATTCGTGTAGATTTCCCCCAGTCTTGTGGTCTAACTTTTTGCAGTTCGTTTTTATTCAAACGCGAAAGCTAGGCCATCTTGGTCGAAATGGTGACTCTTTATCCAACTCTCAGAATGAAGTTGTAATGGTAAAGAACTAATTCTTGATAAATCAACCACAAGTTCGTCCAGAGATGCGGGGGGCAGCTGAAACACTAGAGCGGTTTCACCATAATATTTACCAAGTCTTTCCTTTTGTCTTAGAAAACTATCCAGCCACCGATGTAGTGTCCCATGACCAATGTTGAGGCATTCGCAAACAAATGCTTGGAACTTTTGAGATTCACTAAGAAATTCGTACCTTTTGTTAACCCAGGATACAATCTTAGTCACGTGACTGGAAACTTCTTTGAAATTTTCCACCACGTTCCACAGAGTGTATTTCCGAAGAAAGTTCTTTTTTCGTAACCCTACTGCTAGTATATTCCAGAGAGCCTTGCACAGCGGTTTACAAGCACCTTCAACAATGTCTTTATGTTTGCTATCATCAAGTGCTTCCTCCGCCGTTCCACCGAACTTGGACATTTGATCGAAAATCCCTTGGATGGCGGCACGCAAGGCATCTTCCGGGGAGTGTTTTGAGTTTGATTTAGAAAAACCTAATCTGGGATGTGTTTCAGGTTTGTTTTTTCCTTCTCTGCTTTCGAAAACGTGAGTGGCATCGTAGTTGGTTTCAGAGTGCCTACCTTTTTGTTCTCTTGAGGATTCATCCGGGATATTCGATGTAACAGGCAAAGATTGGTCTTGATCTACGTTTTCGGATTCGCTGTGAAAAGTAGCATCACCTTGGGGTTCACCTTTCAATAAAAATACATCCAGGATAGAGTTGGATCCGCTTCGCAGGTTTTTGGGCCGTGCTTCTTTTGGTATTGCGCTATTCAGAAATTGGTCCTCCACTGGACCTGTTAAAGCCAAAGTTCCATCGACAACATGGTCATTCTCTACTACTATCCATAATTTCTCCTCTTTATGAAACAATGCTTTAAGATTTTGGGTTAACTGAACTTTGACAGTAGAAGAAGCACTCTCATTGATGAACGAGGGGACTCGGCCCCTTTCTACCATAGACCAAGTCCCATTCTCGCATTGCAAGTGCCAACCGGAAAGGCAAATTTTTGTAAACGTATTTGCTTCGCCTACTTCCTCTTCGTCCATTTTCCGACCCGAACAAACTTTCAACACGAGCTCCAGAACGCGAGGAGAACCAACAATGGTGTAGTCACACTGATGGATCACAAGGTGCGGTCGCTCCTTACAAACGTCCTGGACGTCAATGCTGCCTGTTGGTCTTCCTAGGTTTGCATTAATCGCTTTGTGCGACAAGGTCTTGTGAGCTAAAGCTGGGTTGCTATCATTACATGCTGCACCCGTCAGGCTATTATTGCCCACATTTTGCGAAGATATCTCGTCTCCTTCCGCAGAGAAGTAGCTTTCGACAGACGCGTCATCGTCGCTGCTAGTGTTTGCTGCCACAGTTTTGTCATCCGGAAGATGGCATTCGGCAAGTGTTTCCCCTTTGATTGTATACTGTGACACAGTACCTCCACCAATTCGCTCAAAGCAATGATTTTTGATCGACTCACCTCCACTGGTATCATTTGTTACCGCAATAGTATCTTCCTTAATGACAGAGATGTGCCTTTCGAACGAAACATTTTCTTCGCTTGTAGGTTCGCTGTTTTCGTGGTTCACAGATTCACCGTTTGCCACATCATGAGTTTGAAGGTTTGTTTCTTTGCCTTTTTATAGTTAAGCCTTGTGCAGTAACAATAGATTCCCGACACCCACCATCGGTTAAGGACGGCTCGCCTCCGATTTTCATTGGCAATGTACAATCATCTTTACACAAACTTTCACGCACAAATGGGTAACTGTGTTCATTTTTCATGCTTTCCTTCATCTTTCCGTGTGGAAACTCCATTTTAGGAGGGCTCTTTGGTAGCTCCAAAGATTCTGTGAGCACTGGGTCACTCAACATTTGTGGTAAACAAGAAGCGCTTAGTTTTTGAGACATATCAGATGAATTACCAATGTCAGTGGTCTCTCTGTTCACTTGTCCAACTGAATTAAAATCTACCGAGCTAGATATGTGCGAATCTCCATTTTGAGTTCTGTGTTTAGTTCTGTTTACTTGAGGTTCGTTTTGATCATCAGTCACGTCGTAATGGTCAAAGTGAAACATCAGATCTCCAGATAAGTTGAGCGCTGTGTCCTTTGTTTTTTTCAAAGGGAATGCACTGTTTTGCTTACGCTGTTGTCGCTCCAGTTTTTTCAACGCTTTCATATTCTTCACGTTCTGCAGTACTTTTTTCCGCTGAAAAAGAACAAGGTAAAAAAAATTCTTTTATTAAAATGAGTAGTTTCCATCATAAGCAACGGTCTCAAATTCCAACAGTATTCCGCCATTCTGGGAGTTGTCTCAGGGAAGTTTAGTAGCAATTGACTATGTAAGGCCTTTTAACTGAAACCAAACCTTTCAAGGCAAAGCTTTGAAGCCATTCCTCAAAATGAAATGAAACAAATAAATAGCGCCGGGGTTTAACCTGTTTAAATTGCACGCCTTGATACATGTAGCTCTAAGATAAGGCAAGATACTTTATTTCAAGTGGCGCATATACTCTTAGCTACATGGTTAGTTAAAAAAAGAAAACTTCACCAGCTAATTCACAGGTATGCCAAAGTAAAAGAGAAATAAAAATGATTCAAACAATATAAAAGCGATTTACAATTAAAATCAAGTTATCAAACAAAAAATACTAGATTCCCGACTTTTCGGAATGGATAGCAATAGCGGCTAACAACATGATGCAACACAAACGAAATCTGGAATTGGTAGTCTATATAACAACCAAGAAGCCCTACATATATAATTAGGTCAACGGTGGATCTAATCATTCCACCTTTATCCTGAGTTCATTAGCCTGCGTTGCAGCCGGCCCACTCACTCGTGTAAACCATCAATATAGTCCGTCTGCGAATTAGTGAACAAAAGCTCGTTCTAGTATCCTGCAGAGTCGCAAGGACAATCACATATCAGGGTGCAAAGAAAGTGAGTTTTAAAGCTTGCCATTCGGGCAAGCTGTAGCTAGCATGTACTAGCCCACAAGTCATTTCAACTAGCCCCAAAACCCTTTTTCATTAGCAGGATTGATTACAATGTAATTTGAATTTCCCCCAAAAACAGCACTTGCCCGTCGGGCAAGTTAAGAACAAAAATCACCAGCCCAACCACAAAATCCACTAGCCCCGGGCTATCGGACACGACTTTCTTTGCACGCTGCATATGTGAGCGTTTCTGGTAGGCAGGTTTCTTACGGGTTTCTTATGCGCCTCACAATTGACCTAATTCTTACGTCTGCGTGACGGCTTAGCGTAGTAACGCGTCAAAATTCACAGAAGGGATTTGGCAAGGATCGTTTGCAGTAAACAATCAAAGAGCAGTTCTAGTGTCAAAACAAAGTAGGAAATCACGATATTCACGGCCAAAAACAAAAAAAACTACACACATATAGCTATTCAAGTCCAGGCATTTAGGAGAAAACCAAAGAGACTAAGGTTATTTAGCCACAGAAACTGCATCCACGATCAAATCCTGTCAGAAAACATTTGCCGAAACATAAACCACAGTAACTAATTACTCAATATGCATGGAACAGACCAGCTTCATAACCTCTAAATGTGGGACTCAAAGCGGCAAATACTCCATGCACTGCATAAACTACACAAACAGAGAGCACGAAAAACCTCTATTGTTCAAGCTGACTCTAAGGTCACGTTTCACACTATTACAAGCTCAATCCGTCTCTTGTCACGAGCTATTAGTCTGTTTGGCCTGTCAACACTTAATTCACATCGGACTAATCACAAACCGCGTAAGAAAA